GAAGTGAAGGGGAGGGAGGAGAGAAGAAAAGAAAGAAGGGGACAAGAAAAGAGAAACAAACAAAATGAAACCTTAATAGAGTCCATGTTTACTGATTGACTGTTTCCAGTGAAAATAATCAGATATAACAGTCTTGATTTAAATCTTTGTTGACATATTCTTCAAACTCACTTTGTAAATTCAGCCCTCTTGATATACAGAAGTATGAATTATCTTTGTATTATTTACATTGTATGTCTCTGCTTATGCAGTAGATTTCATCCTTTTTAGGACACTGCTCTTCTGACTTCCAGCAGCAATTCCTACATCATCAGCTTTCTCACCTAAACACTTTGTCGTCCTATGCAAGCAGCAGATCTACATAGTGGATAAAATCTATCCTTTGCACACATGCTTTTCAACAATGACCTCGTCTCAGTTTTTACTTCTTTTTAGAGAAAACTCTTCCGTAGTAATCCCAAAGGCCAAATACAATCCTCTTCTTACTTGATCCACTGTTCCTAAAAACTTATAAAATTTTAATTCTTTAACTATTACATTCTGTGTTCTAAAGTTATTCATTTAACTCTTACTCATGTGACATCATCTTTTAATTTTTAACATTCTAAACTATATTTAGAGGATAATTCTGTTGATCTTATCAAGGCATTTATAAATACCCATGAAACCTAAATCTCCCAAATACTTACATTCAAAGTCCGCTGATAGGAACACTGATGTTACAGAAAGCAGATATATTCTAGGTTTTTATAATTCTAAAAGATCGAAGAAGTGTTAAAGATTGGAATCAATTTATTCATATGTTAGCAAAGACAAAGGACATTTCAGTGTAACTGAGTATCAGAATCCTATAGACTTTTGAAAAGATTATGAGACCCATTGTGATAAATGTATTGTACTTATATAAAGAAAACTATATTTTAGGATATGACACTTGACTATGCCTACAGATTTACCTGCATATAAGCAGACAGTCCTTCAGTGCAGGAGTTGGATTTGTGGTTTCTCTTGGTTCTAATGACATCAGCTTCATATTTCAATGATGTCTCTGGTAATACAGAGAGACAAATACCATACACACAATCACTTCATCTGGAAGTGTTTCCCCTGACTGATGCTGCTGTACTTTCAGGAAACATAATTTGTCTAATTTATAGAAAAAGTTATTTTATTAAATTGTTTTAATGCTAAATTTAATACCATGAATGTCATATAAATTCCAGAAATCTGATTCTTGATTATGAAAAAAAAAAACTATCCAAAGTTCTATGGGAAATTTTTTTTGCCTAAGAACCAATATTAAATAGCATTTTCATGATTGATAGGTAAATTAGTGGATAAAGGATTTCTATATTACTAAGATATATATTTGCAATTTGTGTTTTATAAAATAACAAATACTGAAATAGCCTTTAAAATATTTTGATTTCCAGACAGAAATATCATCGTGTCCACAAATGCTAAATTTGGCTTTGGTAAGGTGTTAAAAATGGAGAAAAATCTGAAATCATTGTTGCATTATGTTTTTGGTCTACAGTTTTGACATGAAAAGCATAGTTGAGTGGATGTTCCTATAGTCAAAAACTCACTGAAGAAGGACAAATGTCTGGGCACAGTTTATGTGTGTTGGAACCACAGCACGTATGGTTGAATTCTTTACTTGCTGCCTGTCCAAAGGTGACTTATTCCTTAATTAAACTCATGGGGATCCCAGGCCTAACTCTGAGGGGAGACTCTGCACCTCCAGAGATGCTAGAAGAATAACAATCTAGAACACATTTTCTAGAGGGATACCCTCTGGCAAAATAGCATAATTGAACTACTTGAGGTCAAATCTCCAAAAGGAAACAATCTAGGATAAGCTAAGATAAAAAATAAAATATGGAAAAGCTCTCTGATTATAAATCAAGACCTGCGGTTTTAAGGAAGGGTAACTGGAGAGATGAATATGATCCAAATATATGAGTGGCATATTCATGTTTCTAGGTAGTGTGTTGAATCCCTGCACTTTAAATAACCAAGAGAAACTAATAAAAAGAATATTTCTAAAATTTATGTGCTCTAATGTACACAAATCTGCTAACCATACAATTTACTAATTTCCATTGGACATTTGAACTCACAAGCAGAGATGAGGAAACCTGATTTTAGATGAAATCATTGAAAACTTGATTCAAATACAGATAAAGCCTAATTCACCCATATGAAAAAGTTTATGCATCTAATATCATTAGGACGCTTATTAGAACAGAAATTGGAAAACAGAGAATAGATTTGGGTGGTGCTGTGTATGTGCAAGTATTCATGAAATAATCACCAAAATACACGGCGCACAGACCACAACACTCACTGCTATGTATGTTGTTCTGGCTTCTATTTATAGCAATAGGGAAGTCAAGTAGAAACTTTGTGATGAAATGCCTCACACAGTGTTCCCCAAGTATTCAAAATTAAGCAATATATGTGACTTCAAAATATGATAATCTATGTATCCCTGTGGGATGATCTTTTAAGGAAAAAGCAACTATAAAGAAATGTAAAATTGAAAGGAAAATTAGTCATTTTCATATCACTAATTGCACTGTTTTCTTCTGTTGAAATTTGGAACTTCTTTGTGATTCTACTAATAGTAAAGAATTATTTTATTTGAAGTACAACATGCTAGGC